GGTGAGCTGAAGATTCGTGCCAGTTGCGCTCCAAGCCTGGCAACAAGAGTTGAGACTTCCATCTCAAAAAAAAAAAAAAAAAAAGAGAGAGAAGACACAGACATACACGGAGGAGAAAAATGCAGTGACCATGGGGGCAGAGACTGGAGTGGTACAGCCAGAAGCCAGGGACCTGCAGGGATCTCCAGGGATCTCCAGGGGTCTCCAAGGATCTCCAGGGGTCTCCAGGGAACTTCAGGGAACTCTAGGGGTTTGCAGTCGCCACCGAAGCTGGCAGAGGCAGGGAGGACCCTCCTCTAGAGCCTTCAGAGGAAGCACAGCCCTGCCAGCATCTTGACGTCACTTCTGGCCTTCGGAACTAGGAGCGAATACATTTCTGCTGGTTTAATTCACCCGGTTGGGGATAATTCATTATGGCAGTCCTAAGAAAGGAATGCTGTCATTTACCTGCTTATCAAGCTTTGACCAGAAACTCTACTTATTTGGATTTTTTTTCTGGGGTGGGGGTGATTGGAGCAACCCATGGCAGGGTGATAGGAGTCATAGTGTTTATAGACACCACAGTGTTGATGACTCAGAGAGCAAAGATGGAGGGGAGATTACTAACAACGAGAACTTCCAATAGTGAGCCCACCTGGCACACAGTGTTAGGAAGGGGTCTTATTATCACTCCCATTTTACAGATGCAACACTGAGGTGCAGAGATGCCAAGGCACGTCTCCAAGGTCTCAAGTCAGGAAGTGTTGGAGCTGGGGTTCACGCCCAACAGGCGACCTGGGGACCCAGCATGGGTACTGCCGAGTCCTCACCAGGAGCTTGGCGGAAGAAGTTTCCATTCTGTGCCGGCCTGGTGCGCAGGAATCTGGGCTCACACAGTGGACCCAGTACACACCCTGAAGCCAGGGACACCATCTGCAGGACCTGCAGCATCCAGAGGCCTGCCTTCTTCCTGGCCTGACAGGTTTAGAATCTTCTGGAAACCGCACCCTGGATGTGAAGCCCAGGGCCCCCATCTCCTCTGGAGAAGCCTCCTGACTGTCCTCCAGGGGAGAAAGTGGTCACAGCCGCAGCATTTGCCAAAGGAGCCGCCCAGGGGCTGTTTTTCTGAGGAATTTCCACTCCCAGGTCATCACCCTGGTTCTCTGACTCCTAAGCTTGGATGACAAAGAAATGAGAGTGGCGGGAACTCGGGGGATGTTGGGAACCCAGGTGTGCTTCAGATATGAGCTTGGGCTGTCCAGGGGTAGTGGTTAAAAAGCGGCCTGAGCAAAAAGTCTCTGACGACACCACGCAGTGGAGCCCCCAGCTTCTCGTAGAGATGCAATCATCCTTCCGTTCTGTGGTTTTCCCCCGAGGTTGAAGAGGTGCCAGATGGAGGATTCAAAGAAAAGAAAGCCAGGATGCAATAACAAAAAGGAAACTCCCTTGTTCTAATGTGACGTCCATTTTCACTTTTCTCTTCCACTCTGTTGCCCAGGCTGGAGTGTGGTGGATCACGGCTCACTGCAGCCTCGACCTCCCAGGCTCAAGCGATCCTCCCACCTCAGCCTTCCGAGTAGCTGGGAAGTCCGAAAGGAATGCTGTCGTTTACCTGGGAACAGGTGCATGTTACCACATCCAGTTAATTTCTTTTATTTTGTGTAGAGATGGGGTCTCGCTGTGTTGCCCAGGCTGTTCTTGAACTCCTGGCCTCAAGTGATTCTCCTGCCTCAGCCTCCCAAAGTCCTGGGATTCCAGGTGTGAGCCACCGTGCCTGGCCTATTTTCACTTTTAAACTAAAGGTGTATCAGGTTTAGCCACTGTGGGTAACAAACACCATTCCCCTTCTCCCTCACCTAAATGGGGATAGAAATGTATCTCTCCTTTATGTAGAAGAAGTCTGACCTAGGCAGTGGAACTGGTATAGAAACCTATAGTGTCAGGGATTCAAGACCCACCATTTGTACCTTCTGTTCCCAAGGCACCTCATGGTCCAACGTGGCTGCTTTGCTCCAGTCATCATACCCTCATTCCAGGCAGGAAGGAGGAACGAAAACATGAAGGACACACCTCCTCCTGCCTTTAAAGAGATGTCCTAGAAGTCGTACATGACTGTCCCACTCACTTCTCTTTGGCTAAAACTTATTTCTATGGACAGGAGAAGCTGCAAGGCAGGCAGGGGAGTATCATCTTTAGTGGAGTGACAGTGCACACATTTAGAAGTCAGGAATCTTCCTGTTATTAAGGAAGAAAGCAGATAAGATTTTGGGAGGTCACTTGAGCCATCTGTGCCACTGCTGGGGACTTTTGTGGTAGAAGGGACCTGACACTGAGATGGAGACTTGGGAAGCTGGCGTTAGAGTCCCAGGGCAGCCACCAACTGCCACCTGGGTGTTGATGATTTGGCAGCCTCGTCGCTTTTTATAGATTTTTCCTTGGCTTCGGAGGAAGGATTCACGAGCATTCCAGGATAATTTTTTATACTATTAAAACCATAAAAGCTTTTCCATCCTAAGCCTTGTGGCTAAAGCCTCCATGAATATTCCAGTACTTTCTAACCAAAGAATTCAAGAGGACACCTCCCTCTGACCACCTCATTGCCTGAGCAGATGTCCATCTCTAGCAGAAAGCTCATAGTTGGAACTCAGGACATGAATAGATTCAGGAGGTGCTGGGAGAGAAAGGCCTGCACCTGGCCTACAGGTAATGAATGACCACATGACCGAATTGTGAAAAGGTGGGGGTTTGGAGCCTACTGGGTTCACTCCCTCGGTGACTCTTGCTGTGCCATCCTTGGCACTTGTTTGATGCGTTGGAACCCCAGTTTTCTCCTCGACTATATGGAGATCCTGCAGACCCCACCTCATAGCATTGACATGAGGATGGGATATAGGATTCCTGTAAAGCTTCCATAGGTGATGAACTTGGCATTCCCAGTTCCCTCCCCTGTGTTACTCAGGCAGTGAGCAGCACATGGATAGTGTAGGCTGTCCCGGTGTCCCCGAGACAGCCTCAGCAGGCCAGTGTCTCTGCCACTCCCTGAGCTGCACACCAAATGAAGC